ATGCTTGATTTTCGTCACTGGATATTGGAAAGGAAGTTGGTTGATCACAAGGTACTAGGTTCTTGGTTCACATGGTGGAATAAAAAATCTCGAAATCCCATTGTCCGTCGAATTGATCGTGTTCTAGTCACTGAAGCCTGGTTGGATCAGTTCCCTCATAGTTTGGTTCAGACTATCGCTCCGGGGGTTTCTGATCATTGTGGAATTTTTGTGCAGACGAATCCAGTTCTCACATCTTTGCCAAAGCCTTTTAAGTTCTTGTTATTCTGGAGACAAAATCCTTGGTATAGTGAGCTACTGAAGAAGGCTTGGCAAACTGAGGTCACTGGTGATCATTATCATATCTTGTTTTTAAGGTTGAGGGGTTTGAAGGGGAAGTTGAGGGGGCTGAATAGAACTGCTTATTCTGAAATCTCTGTTCGTACAAGGGAGGCTGAGGGGAAGCTAGAGGGGATGTAGAGGGATTTCCTTGCTGGTCTTACTAATACTCAATCTCAGGCTGTTTTGTTTCAAGAGAAGCTATGTAAAGAATTGCAAAGCCAGAACAAGTTTTCTATAGGCAGAAATCTAGAGTTCAATGGATTACAAAGGGAGATGCTAACACAGGGTTCTTCCATGGCATGGTCAAAGCTAGAAATCATAAGCAAACTATACAGAAGCTGATTTCAGATTATGGTGAGATAGTTATTGATGTAAAGGCGATGAGTAATGTCGCTGTTGAATTTTATAAAGCCTTCTGGGGATTATTGATAAGGCTGTTCAGAATACTCCTCCTTGTTATTTTGAGGAGCTGTTAAAGCATAAAGTAACAGAGGAAGGAGTGGCTGTACTTTCTGTGCCTGTCACTAGAGAGGAGATTAAGCAAGTTTTCTTTGGAATGGGAAATGACAAGGCTCCTGGGCCAGATGGCTATGTTGCTGAAATTTTCAAGCTTGATTGGGAGGTATTAGGTTCTGATGTGGAGGATGCTGTGCTTCAATTTTTTAGTTCTGGATCATGCCTAAGTGGGTTAACTCTATTGTAAAAGCTCTTATACCAAAGCTCCCGGTGGTTGAGAAGATGAAGGATTTTCGTCCTATTTCTTGCTGCAACGTGCTGTAAAAAGGTATATCCAAGCTCCTTGCTAATTGCTTGTCACTAATTTTACCTCAGCTTATTGGAAGAAGTCAACCTGCTTTCATTAGGGGGAGGTTAATTAGTGATAATATACTTATGGCTACTGAATTAGTGAAAGATTATAGTAGAGGTAGGTTATCACCTAGATGTGCAATTAAGATTGATTTAATGAAAGCTTTTGACTCAGTTGATTGGAATTTTCTGTTTAAGGTGATGTGTGCTATGGGTTTGCCTCTGAGGTTTGTGGAATTGATAAGAGCCTGTGTAACGTCTCCTATGCTTAGTGTTTTTTTCAATGGTGGATTATGTGGGTACTTTCCAGCTGCCAAGGGTTTGAGGCAAAGGGATCCTTTGTCCCCATACCTGTTTACTATAGCTATGGAAGTGTTCTCTTGTTTGCTAGCTAAAGCTGTAGGTCAAATGAGGTGCAATACCATCCTAGGTGTAAAAGCTTGGAGATTACACATCTTTGTTTTGCGGATGATTTGTTAGTTTTTACTAATGGTTCTCCTCAAGCAATGATGGGGGTTAAGAAAGTTCTGGAGGAGTTCTATTCAGTTTCTGGTTTGAAGTGTAATTTACAGAAATGTCAATTATTTTGTGCTGGTCTGCTGCAAGAAGAGAAGCAAGCACTTTCTGATCAATCTGGATTTCCACTTGGGGAATAGTCTGTCAGGTATTTGGGAGTGCCATTAATTTCAGGCAGGTTATCTTCTGTTGATTGTCAATGCCTAGTTGATAAAATCACAAAACGTATCACAAGCTGCCAAACTAGGACCTTGAGCTATGCAGGGAAGTTGCAGTTGATTGATTATGTTATTAGTAGTGTTTGTCAATATTGGATGTCTGTGTTTTTTATCCCAATGAAGGTGCTTAAAATGATTGAGGATGCGTGCAATAAATTTATGTGGAGTGTGGATGGAGTTAGGAGGAAGAAAGCTTTAGTAGCATGGTCACAGTTAGCTCTCCCACACAAGGAAGGAGGTCTGGGCATTAGGGACTTTAAAAATTGGAACAAGGCTTGTGTGATTCGTCATTTGTGGAATTTATTAGCAGAGGCAGGATCATTTTGGGTAGCATGGATGAACAGGTATAGAATTAAAGGTCCGAGTTTGTGGATCCTTTCAGCTAACTTTGTGAGTACATGGGTTTGGAAGAAGATATTGAAGTGCATGCATCATGCTCAACCACATATTACTGGTTCAGGGGATACTTTGGCATGGGTTGGACAGAGGATCCCTAAATACTCTGTTAAGCTTGTTTGGGCTGCTATAAGGGAGCCCTCTCCAACTGTTACATGGAGCAGTGTTGTGTGGGAGAGTGGCATCTATCCAAAACGCAGTGTTCTCCTTTGGTTGGTTGTGCTTGGGCGTCTGAGGACTAAAGACCAGCTTGCTGGCTGGGGTATAGCTTGTAACCCATGCTGTGTTTTATGTCCAGGTGGTGATGAAAGTCGAGATCACTTGTTTGGGAAGTGTTCATTTGGCCAGGCAGTGCTTAGACATCTATTGCAGAAAGTCTGTGTTTTCCCTGGGTTCTCTGACTGGTTTTCTCATCTGCAATGGGCAGAATGGCAATTGGGGATGAAGTCTGATAGGGCTGCAGTTGGTCGAGTTCTTTGGATAATGGGCATTAGTCACATATGGAGGAAAATGAACTCACGATTATATGGCAGTTCTCGTGCTGCTTCTCCTGCTCAACTATCGCGATTGGTGCTGACTGAGTTTGGTATATTTGCTAGTAGCAATGTAGCCTTCCAGCTGAGTGTCTTGAAAGTTTTAGGTCCTAGCGTTTAAAGTTTTTTTGGTTTACATCGTTGATAGTTATTAGCATACTGAATGTATAAGCACAGTTGTATACCTTGAGAGGGAGGTTTTGCGAGTTGCAACTCCCAGAGCTTCAATGCAATTTTTGATTAACCATAAAAAAATAGTGTGCGAACTATAAAAGAGGTGGAAAGCCTATTATCCGAGAAACGAGGAGACATAATAGCTTCTGAACCCCAGAGTGCTTCTCGGAAGTCGTGCTAGTTCTATTAATAAGGGGCCAAATAGATGAGAACCGGCTGGCCGAGTTGAAAGGTTTTGCCAATTGACCGTTAACCGGCCGGCCAGTTCAGCCGTTGCGTTTTTTAAAGTATACCGAGCTGAACTGGTGGCAGGGTCCTGGTTTTACCGGTCCGACCGATTGACTAGGCTCGGTTTTGATAGCACTGGTTAATACGAATGCTGGCTTTCTTGAAGATGGAGGCATCAGACTTGGGGTGGTGATTAGAGATGAAAAAGGGCGATTCTTGTTAGCAACATCAAAGAAAATTCATGGACAGAGGGAGGTCGAGGAGGATGAGCCCCTTGCGGCCGAGCTGGGCATCCAGATCGCCTTTCAGGAACACTACATGAATCTGATTTTGGAAATGGACTGTTTGAGCCTTGTTCAAAAGCTGGACCATGCCGCGAACATTCATAATGATGTTGGTGTTATCTTTCGCAACATTTGATGGTTACTATGAGACATGGTCCATAGCTCTTGGCAGTCTTCCCCCCCCCCCCCCCCCCCCGCGCGACGAGCAATGAAGTAGCACACCTTCTAGTGCAATCAAGAATGAGATGGAATGAATGTATTGTGTGGGTTGATTGGCTGCCAGTTTTTTTTATTGACCAGTTTGAGGTGGACCGTGTAACTACAATTTCTAGTTGATAAAATCTAATACAAGTTTGGATAAATAAAAAACATTGGAACTCCTTATTAGTGCAAAATCCACTTTTGGGGGCAAAAAATGCCAAAATCATTTGATATTGTAGCATTTTTCAACTTTTATTGTTGGAGATTAGACCTGGCAATCGAGTTGGGTTGGGTAATTTTGGGTTGGGGACTTCGGTTACTGGTCGGGTCATGTTTGGTTGGCTGATTTCGGGTCAAATATTGACCCAACCCATTCGGTTTCGAGTCGGGTTACAGGTCATTTTGGGTTCTGAGCGTTCTCAGAAACAATATCAAACATGCTTCATATTTTCTTACAGAACACAAATGTTCACATATGCATGACAATAGTTTACCTAACACATGTCAATTACCATATACTCAAATCCTCCAACGCTAATGAAATGAAATACAAATTGCGCAAATCGTCAAAAAACGATCACAAGAGTAATATTACTACAAGAAACCCATGATATTTGATTATCCTTAAACTCCAAAACATGTCATTCAAATTCTTGTGATTGTTTTTAAACATCTCACCAATCTATGGGCGATTTTATCATTTTGGGAGTGATATATAAAATGAAACGGGTCTAACGGGTCGACCTGCTAACCCACCCAACTTGACCCAAAAAATCACGGATTTTCGGGTTCGGGTCCTTTGGATTTCGGGTTACAAAAATTTCTAGTTTTCGAGCGGTTTCAGGTCGGTCAACGGGTCTGGTTGTAATTTGCCAGGTCTATTGGAGATTGTCTAACTAAAAGAACTGAAATCTTTTTAAAAAATGGTAATGTCTATATTTTATCGAAATCATTTTCAGATGTGTTTATATTATCCAAACCTATTAAAATACTATTAATTAGTCAAATCTTTCATAATGCATAAAAATATTAGTCATTTTTACGTTTTTTTTTATAATTTTGTGACTTTTTACTTAGTTAAAATATTAAAATTGTGGAATGTTGACCTTCACGTGTCTCTTCTGAGTTAGTATCATGTTGTCAAGTCAATAAACTAACAAAATTGCTAATTAAAAATTAACATTTAGCTAATTATTAATATTTTAAAAGATTTTGCTAATAAAAAAAATTCGAAAAAAATTTGGCCAATAAATACACTTTGAAAATGAAGAAAATATATATTATATACCCGATAATCCGGGTTGAATTGAGGAAATTGGAATAGCACCCCACCCCACTTTCCGAAACCCAAAAATCTTGTAATCCACCGTACTGTATTGTTCCTCACTGGTTCATCGCCAGCCACTTTCTAAAAGAAAGCAAAGCTGAAGAGCTAAAGCCTTTCCGTTGGGCGGATTTATGATGGGAACGCTGGCGAGCTACAGCTTTAGCACTCCGAATTTCAGGCTTCGTTCGGGTCACTTTGATGACAATTTCCGGGAGCGGGTTCGAGGTTTCGATTCGTATAGGAAGAAATCAGGTTCAGGTTCTTGTCATCTGTGCGGGGGAAGAATGTTCAGCAACAAGAGGGAGTATATTACGTTTCGGAAGAATTCTACTAAAGTCTGGTGCTTTGGTGAGAATAACGATAGGGATGGTGTTAACAGTAATGACGGTAGCAAAGAAGTGGAAAGCAGTGAAATGGGTGGGCAAGATTCTAGTGTAGCAACAGCATCCCCTGAAGACAATGGGGAGAGAACTGCCGAGGATAGTGAATTTGGTTCTGACAATTCTCCTGCCTCTATTTCATCAAAGGTACCCCCTCCCTCTCTATATATCTCTATCCTGTCCTCTACCAGAGCAATTATTTTCTTAGTGCTAGCTGTATTTGCTTGGGCTAAAATTTTGCTTGCTTAATGGAAAGACTGAAAGATTCAGTAAAAGAATTCGTTTTCGCTATGCTTGGACAAAGCATTTAGAGCTCAGCAATTTGTGGTAATGGAGGTCTAAGACTTGCTTTCATCGAATTTATCTAGTCTTTCCAGGAGAATTATGTTTTTGGCAATGTTTATGTTGGACTTGGTTGCTTATTGCAATTCTTTTAAGGATTAAGCTTGTACAGTTAACAATTTTTTTTCAAGATTCTCATTTTACAAATGCATATGTCAAGCACTATTTATCTGTAACAATGAGTTGTTGATCATTGATGCGTTCTGTTTGTTTGTTTGTTCAGCCACCAACTATATCTTCTCTTGGACCAGCTTACAGTAATTTCCAAGTGGACTCTTTCAAATTGCTTGAGCTTCTAGGACCCGAGAAGGTCGATCCATCTGATATCAAGCTAATAAAGGACAAGCTTTTCGGGTACTCAACCTTTTGGGTTACTAAGGAAGAAATATTTGGAGACCTTGGTGAGGGCGTTCTTTTCCTTGGGAATTTAAGGGGGGCAAGAGAAGACGTGTTTGCTAAACTTCAGAATCAGCTAGCAGAGATTACGGGTGATAAATACAACCTTTTCATGGTGGAAGAACCCAATGCAGAAGGAGCAGATCCTCGTGGTGGTCCACGAGTTAGTTTCGGTTTGTTAAGAAAGGAGGTGTCCGAGCCAGGGCCAACCACACTTTGGCAATATGTGATTGCTATGCTGTTATTCCTTTTAACAGTTGGTTCTTCTGTCGAGTTAGGAATTGCATCTCAGGTTAGCTATTTGGTTGTGTATACTTTGCGCACATGACAACTTGACCTAGGATTTCCATCTTCTTAGCTGCCTTTCTCTTATCCGTTAGTTAATTCCCTTTTTTGCATGATTATTGCATTTTGCTCCAACAACAGATCAATCGCCTTCCTCCAGAAGTGGTGAAGTATTTTACCGATCCAAATGCCGTTGAACCACCAGATATGCAGCTGCTTTTCCCGTTTGTGGATTCTGCTTTGCCGTTAGCCTATGGTATCTTAGGAATTCTGCTATTTCATGTGAGGAACCTCCTTATTGATATTTGACTATTTGAAGCTGCACGTGGTTTATTGTACTATGCTGATGCAGTATGAAACTTTTTTTTATATCTCGTGTAGGCCACCTAATGTGTGTAGGTAGTGTTATTTGCTTTAGCCCCTGCTACTTTCATACATGGGACAAGAACTGGTGCTACGCTTGATATGCTAGGTTGGTAGATAACTGCTGCCTTTTCACGACTGAACATATGAAGTCAATCAACCGCCAGAAGAAGGGAAAAACTAAAAACTTAGAGAAAGCCTTGTGAAAGCAACTGAATTTTCTACCCCCTAGATACCATCCTTTGTAATCAAGCAGCATAATGTAAATATTGAATTCGTAAGTAGTATAGCATGCCCTTGTTTTGGGTCAAGAGTCCAGTGAGAGGTATAATAAACTTGGCGGCATCTGTAGTTGTTATTTCTCACTTTCATTTAATCTCATGGACTAGCCATTTATCGGACAAATTCCAAACTTAGTTTTTGGTTCAGGATTTTACTTATTATATAAACTTGGCGTTTTGCAGGAAACTTAGTTTTTCGGACAAATTCAACAATTCGTTCTTTGTTTGGGTTTTGCAGGAACTTGGGCATTTTATTGCTGCTTTCCCTAAAAAAGTGAAACTCAGCATTCCATTCTTCATCCCCAACATTACACTTGGAAGTTTTGGTGCAATAACTCAGGTACATTGTTAGCAACCTTTTCTGTGGGAAGGGAGAGATATATACTTTAATAGAAGCAATAATTTGGTGAGAGCATGTAATCATTAGCGGGACATCACAAGTTTAAGTAAAATGATTACTATGTCGCCACTCGGTGATTTCTGTGGTCATTGTAGTTCAAATCTATCCTTCCTGATCGGAGTACAAAAGTTGACATTTCGTTAGCTGGTCCATTTGCCGGTGCTATTCTCTCTTTCTCCATGTTCATCGTCGGCCTGCTGCTTTCATCAAATCCTGCTGCTACTGAAGACTTGATACAGGTTCCTAGTATGCTGTTCCAGGGCTCTTTACTTCTCGGGTTAATCAGCAGAGCTACCCTTGGTTATGCGTATGTCCCTCCCAGATAAATCCCTGAGCCTTTTATCCTTGATGATCAACAGAAAAATAATATAGAAAGTCACGTTGAGACTCTGATTCATACAAATTGATGTTATGAATATGCAGAGCAATGCATGCTGCAACAGTTTCTATCCATCCTCTTGTGATTGCTGGCTGGTAAAGACTCTCGAATACGTTTTCTTGAAAAACCATAAAATATCTTTTAACTTACTGTACGAATCGTTCTCTTATTAGGTGTGGCTTAACTACAACAGCTTTTAATCTACTGCCAGTAGGAAGCCTTGATGGTGGAAGAGCAGTCCAGGTAACTTCTAGATTCTCTCTTCACCAAGTAGAGTAGAAGAATCCTAGCCCCATAAATTTAACTCATTTTACAGGGTGCTTTCGGGAAAAGTGCTCTTATTGGATTTGGGTTGACCACATACGCATTTCTTGGTCTGGGAGTGGTAAGCCAAATCGTCATCATGGTGAAATTTTCATTTGATTACAAAGCATGTGTCAGTTATACAGGTCTCAATTGCGAAACAATGTTACTACTACATCAGTCAACATATGGTGCTGACATTGGAATCTCGTCTTCTGTTTTCCTTCCCTTCAAAGCTTGGTGGTCCATTATCACTCCCCTGGGGCCTGTACGTGTTGATATGTCAGGTAACACCAAGAAACTGCTAGGCAAATAAAGTCTTTGCCGTTTTACAACGACGTTATCGATCTATTAATGGTGGTGTATGTGCTATCAGAGGGCGCCGGAGAAGCCATGCTTAAACGACGTGACAGAGGTTGGAACTTGGAGACAAGCTGCTGTTATGACGGCAATTTTCCTAGTGGTGCTGACACTGGTTCCGGTTTGGGATGAGCTGGCGGAGGAGCTAGGTATAGGTCTCGTGTCTACATTTTGATTGCTAATATATAGGGAGAGAACAGAAAGAAGAGTATACAAAGCCAATTTTGACATACTGTATTGTGTGGGTCAATACTAATATTTGTATCTTTCGCCATTGTTGTTATAAAAAGCAATTGTTTTATATTGCGTTAGCTTCGCCACGGACCTCTTGTAGAGATACTTGATGCAGAAGCTGGACAAGTGCATCGTCGTGAAAACTGCGTTCGTATTTCCTTTGGTCCCACAATGTAGAATGAGCAACGAGCCCGTCCTACCGAAAATCGTTAGTTAGGATGCCGTTTTCTAGTGGGGACTGGGGGAGATGCCAGACAGTTATAGCGTTTGCATGCTATATTTACACGAGTCATGATTTTGCCCGAGTCATTTGGTGAAAAGTAGTGACGAAAAAACTATTCATTTGTAAATGATTAGCTTTGTTTTTTATTGACAAACGAGTCATTTGACAAAATATTGTAATTGATATTATTGATGTCGGGGTTATAGTCGACGGCGAGTTTTTTTTTATGTTGGGTATCAGAGTCGATCGACGACCAACTTTCACTTAGCTTCGGTCGTCTCTTGCAAAAAAGGTCTGCCAGCCGATCTCGACAGGGACACTCTCCGACGCTCAAGTTAGCAAGTGGGTTGAGTGGAGAGGAATATGACATCGAAAAGAAAGATGAGGGAATGGAGTTGAGAATGAATATTTGCGCTACTCATAGCGAGAGTTCACAAGTCTAGGCATGTGGATATTTGCTTCTCTCAATCTAGAGACGAAGTGGCTTTTTATAGAGGCATCCAAACGAACATGAAGGGAGTACGTGTCTCCTTCAGAAGCTTGGTGGTGTGGAGAGAGGACACGTTGCAGGATTACGTGGCTAAAGGTCTAGGTGACCTGGGGTGGGCCCCCAAAGTGGTCGAGGTGACCCGGGTTAGTTGACCATGGGGTGACCAGAGTGACTCGATGTGGCCGAGGTGACCCGAGGTAATTGACTCCAGGGTGGCCGGAGTGACCCAAAGGTGACCCAGGGTGATTGACCCCGGTGTGGCAGGAGTAACCCCAAGGTGACCCAAAGTGATTGAGATCGGGTGGCCGGAGTGACCTTGGGGTGGGCTAGGTGACCCGAGGTAATTGACCTCGGGGTGGCCGGAGTGACCCCAAGATGACCCAGGGTGATTGACCCCGAGGTGGGCTAGGTGACCCAAGGTAATTGACCTCGGAGTAGATGGAGTGACCCGAGGTAATTGTCCCCGGGGTGGTCGGAGTGACCCAGGTTGATTGACCCCGGGGTGGCCGGAGTGACCCCAAGGTGACCCAGGGTGATTGACCCCAGGGTAGGCTAGGTGACTCGAGGTAATTGACCCCGGGGTGGTCGTAGTGACCCCAAGGTGACCTCAAGGTGATTGACCCCGGGGTGACCGGAATGACCACTAGGGTGGCTTAGGTGACTCGGGATGATTGATGCCAGAGTGGTCGGGTTGACCTCAAGTGACCTGTAGTGATAGGTGAGGGCTGCTGATTATGGACTATCTGAGAACACTTTTGTCAAATTAAAAATTTTAATTTGGGGTCCATCAGTTGCCCCCTTGTCGTCGTAAACATTGAACTAAGGAGATTTTGTAGCGACAATCACATTTTTTATTGGGCTCTCAGGAACCCTTGGCAAGAGAACAATCCAATTGTGATTCGTGTATTTCAACTACCAATCATGGTTAATGAGTTTGGAGCTATTATTGACAAAACCAATCTTGAATTTTGAGACATGTATATAAAAGATCAAACCAATTTTGGCTCGTGGAATTTAAAAGGTGGATTTGAGCCGATAACGGCTCATGCGTAGAGTTTGTGAACCAATTTTGGTTCATTATACAGTTGGTGATCAACCAATTGTGGGTCACGTATGTAAGGAACGAGCCAATCGTAGCTCGTTAAGTGGAGGGGATCTAAACTAATATTAGATCAGATGTGGTCCATTTGAATGGAGATAATGAAACAATATTGTTCAGGAATGGAGAGAATGAACAAATTTTGTTCATGCCTTGAGCACATGTACCAATCTTGCAATCAAATAAACCTTGATATGAGTTCTAGCCATATACGATTCTCATTAGATCTCTGATATTATAATCCATATTTCATTTGGCTTTCCATCATTCTCGTTATCATTTTGCTAGAATTCTCGTTGTCTGATAGTTCTACTAAGATTACTTTTGCTCCCCACATGCATTTATGTTGGCAGTGATAATGGGATTTATGAAGGTCGGGGTGGAACCAATCATGATGATAACACCAAGATGACAGGACTTTAATGTGGGTGAGACATACTATTATCATGATGATAATTATATAAGAAAAAATCTTGGTGGGGGCATCAGACTAAGTGGGGATGGAGCCACAATAGCCGTATCGACCACGACAATATAGTGTCGATAGGTGAGATGATGATGGTAGAATACCCTCATTGAGTATTGTCACTATAGTGAGAACAAAATGGGTACATTGATAATGGTTGACGTATCTCATCTATCAATGTTGCAATTTACAAGAAATTGGCACATCATAGTGTCCCAAAGAGAGATTAACTCAATTGTTTGGATAGTATATTTCTATTCGCACAATTTTGTGCTTTCATGTGGCAGTTATTGCAAGGTGTTGAAATTTATTCTCCCAACCCTAGTGCAATGGTTGAGAAATGACTCTTTACCCAACTCCAGTGCAATAGTTGGGTAATTACACTTAACTCAATTGTCATGTGCAATGGTTGAGTGACGACTCTCCCCCAATCGTGACGTGCAATGATTAGAGGATTGATTAACCTTAGTGCAATGGTTGAGGGAAAAACAAATATATGCATGCAAAATGAACCTCTCACCCAACAATTATGTACAATGATTGGGTTGAGAGCACGTACAAGTTATTGGATGCAAAAAAAAAAAAAAAAAAATAATATAACCACTAAATGAAAATTAACAATAAAAATAACCCAATACCTTATATTTCTACACCTTTAGGTGTGAATATTAGGAGGAGTGGTGACTAGGCGGTGATTAGCTTGAATGTGTTTATTATATTCCTCAGAGAGATTCAAGTTGTTGTTTTAAGTTGTTGGGGGAATTCTTCAAAACTCGAGATCTTGGCCAAATGATTTGGTAGAGGACAATGTTGTCTCTCTTTACGATACTATAGGAATTTCTTGATTTAAGAAGTGACCAATATTGTGGTGGTAGGGTCGTCTATAGAGGGTGGTGACAACTAATGAAGGAGACCACTTTTTGGCATGATTTATTGAGAAATTTTTGTTTTGGTGGTGGGTGGTTGGGTGGGGGCCACTATGTTTGAGGTGATGGCCAATAAAGGTAGGTACAACATAGAGGTGGCAACCATAGAAGTGAGGCGGAGAGTGTCAAAGACATCAGAAACTCGAATGAAGGGATTGCCACGCTGATGGTCAACCGAAATTGTGGCAATGGTGAGGGTTTGGTCATGAAAGGTGGTTTTGAACTTATAAGTCCAAAAATATTTTTTCATAGTAAATATCTTGCCTCCACATTGTTATGGAAGACAGGGTACTAATAGTAGCACTTGGGTTCTTGAGAAATATGATAGTTTCACTTTGGTGGGGAAAATGAGCTAAGGGGAGATGGAGCATGTGGTAGTTGCAACAATGATTGTAATCATCAAAACCTTCTGAACCCAATGAAGCATACTGGTTTGTGTAGCAAGCCACAACTATCTTGATCTCGAGGAGTGACGAAGTGATGATGGTTTTCTCGGCAATTGGAGGAGCTGATTCTTCATCGTATTTGAGGTTCATATGCCCAACAGTGTTTCTAGTGCATGTTCACATGGATCTTTGTCAATTCTCTTATAACCTTCATCTCATTTTGGAGTTATTTTTCATTTTGAGTATTGGTGGCATCGCTTGGGTGATATGTTTGCTCAAAGGCTTGGCTAAGTATAATTGTTTCGGATTGTTTGGCAAAGTGTGCTTCTGATGTTTATTGAGAGCGTTAGAGGGAGACTAAGAGGTGATTCTCCAAGATGCCCCCGGTGAAGATCGAACGAGCCAATGGCTTACCATGCCCAGAGTCAATGAGAAAACTAGGCATAAGGTGAGGCTCGAGGTGTGGGAGGTCTTCTGGTCATGGAGGTGGACGAGGGGATGATGTCCCATTGGGTGACCTGATCCTTCGCCGGTTTCTGGTTGATGGCTAGAGTTGGCATGCAACCCATTGGTGGAAGAGGTGTAGACATCAATGTTTGGATTTGAGCTTTCAGCAGCTCAATTTGGACTTGAATGTCTTCAACGAATGGTGGAAGGCTGGCTCTTTATACTGAACTTCGCCGCCGGTTTAGGGGTGTATGGAGCTTGGAGACTCCATCACGAGTGAAGTGGTGGCGCTAGGATTTCTTCAACCTTTTGCTCCGGGTCCCCACGGTGGGCGCCAATTGTTGATGCTGGGTTTATAGTCGATGTCGAATTTTTTTTATGTTGGGCACCAGAGTCGGTCGACGGCCACCTTTCACCTCGAACTTCTCTCGTGATGTTAGCTTCGGTCTTCTCTTGCAAATGGAGTTGAGAATGAATATTTGTGCTAATCATAGCGAGAGTTCACAAGTCTAGACATGGGGTTTTTTCTTCCCTCAATTTGGAGACGAAGTGGCCAGAGTGACCACAAGGTGACCCAGGATGATTGACCCTGGGTGGCCGGAGTGACCCCAGGATGGGCTAGGTAATCCAAGGTAATTAACCGCGGGTTTGCCAGAGTGACATGAGGTAATTGACCCTTGGTGGCCGGAGTGACCTCAAGGTGACCCAGGGTGATTGACCCCAGGGTGGCCTTATTGACCCAGGGTGATTGACCCCGGGGTGGGCTAGGTGACCCGAGGTAATTGACCCCCGGGGTGGCCGGCGTGACCCCAAGGTGACCTTAAGGTGATTGACCCCGAGGTGACCGGAATGACCACCGGGGTGGCTTAGGTGACTCGGGGTGATTGATCCCACGGTGGTCGGGTTAACCTCAGGTGAGACCTGTAGTGATCGGTGAGGACTGCTGATTATGGACTATCTAGGAACACTTTTGTCAAATTATTTTTTTTAGTTTGGGGTCCATCAGATATCTACTTTATAACATGTACAATTTGGTGCCAAATGACTTGTTTTTGAACAAAAAATAAATGGAGTTATTTGCAAATGACTTATTTTTTCGTCACTATTTTCCAATCTTAATCATCTCATTTTTT